CATTGTACGCTTTATTGCGTATAATCCATACACTGGTACGAATAGGAAAAGTGAGTATTTGGAAGCCCCCCACCCTGCCCTTCCCAGGGTCTCATAGTAAATTGAGGAGCAAGGATTGAACTCTAATCTGCTCTATTTCATGATACAATGACAAGGCAAACCAATCACAGTCATATTCAAAGGAATCTCAGCAGATGAAAATCTAGATATGTATATACAAGGTAAAATGGGAAATTAAATTATATTAGTAAAATAGAGCTGTTTGTGGATTAAAATACACAATGCTTTTACTGTGCTTATTACATCTTTACATAACCATTATTTACTGTTATTTATCATTATCATTTTTATACCTTGCCTTCCTTTATTCCAATTTCCTACAAATTTCAAAGTACCTATAAGATGCGATTGATTGCTATCACTTTGCAGAAGAAAAAACTATGCTCAAAAAGGAAAAGTAATGTACCCAACTTACTTAGGTGAATGCATGACAAACATAAGTCTTGAATTTATGTTTTTGGAATTCCAAAAATGGGTTTTAATGCTGGAGTATCCAACTCAGACTTTCAACTAGATCTAACCACATTCAAACATCAAACAGAAAAGGTGGATGAAGTTTTTTAGTGTTTACAATTTGATCCAGTTCTAAAGGTATAAAAATACTGAACTAAAAAGTGTTAAGTATAAGAACACAATATTGTTAATTCAGGAAAGATATTTTATGAAAGTCCTATGTTAGTACTTGATTATTCATGATTGTGAAAAATAAAATTTTTCTTCAGAGTTGAAGCAAGTATGTAGAATTGTAAGTCAAAAATTTATTTTATATGAAATGCCCCTTAACTGCTATTTTTTAATATGAGAAATGATAATATTTGATTAATTAATTTACTTTAAGTTAAAAACTAAAATATTTTATCAATTCATGCTTTCAATGCTTCCAGGATTTCAGCTGTTATTGTAAGTTCATTTCTAAATACATAAACGGAGGTTGTATGGTATCTTAAAATTATATTTTTGATTTGAATGCTACTAGCTCCTGAGAATCACTGTTTCAAAAGACTCAGCTTGTGGCTAACAATATTA